CTGCGCAAATAGGATTCTCCTAAAAGTAAATAGTCAATCTTTTGATGCGATCGTTCTTTCAAAAATGTTTCTTAGCCTTTCTGTTTATGCCGCTAGTATTTGTGACCTTACCAAACTTTGCAAAGTTTGTAAAGATGATTTTTCAACAAAAGCTACATATCAATTGATTATGTTATTCACGAACTTTAAGGAAAGAGAGACCACTGTCTTTTTATAATGAATTAAAACACGAGGATTTCTTACTTTATAATTTTCATCCTAGTTCTGAAGAATCACTGATATGTGCGTTTTATTTAAAAAGCAGTAATAATAATAACAATAATAAAGACACTAAAAAAGATATGTCCACCTTCCAAGCAGATCCTGTTTAAGACCAAAGCTGTTTTAATAAATTTAAGTATAATTTAGCCGTCATTATGAAGTCTTTGATTTCTCATATTTTTTTAATTTTAAATCCTTCTATTTGTTTGAAGTGGAACATCTTGATATCATTATGAATTGTTAATATTATTGTCATTGTTATTATTACTCTATATTTTCATTAATATTGTCACTGGTAGTTTGCTGAAGGCTTACACAAGCAACTTCTAAGATAGAAATCATGCTGGTCGAAGTTTAATGTTGATGTGCTTTAATCAATAATCCTGTCCCCGAAATGGTTGCCATCGCCAGCAGCGATTGTCTCATGCACTGCCTTACTATTTTTGGTCAAAAATTCCAACAACAATAAAAATCTGCAGCAGTATTTTTTATCAAATGGGTGTAACCTTTATCACGATAGCGAGTTTCGTCAACCTAGTTTGTGTGATGACGTTTGTTTACTGGAACATATTCACCGTTGCTCGTTCGCACGCGCGAAGAATTAACTCTCAATCGACGCAATGTGATCCTGTAGGATCGAGACACTCCAAACGAAGGTTGAAGTGGGAACTTAAAGGAGCAAAGACTTTGACCATCATAGTCAGTCCCCGCTGTTTGTTTTTTATCTTGTGTACACGTACATGTCTTTACAGGTAACAGAGACATTTACAGTTATTAATCATGTTATTCTCTTTCTTCGATAATGTAATTCGCTCTTCAACCCTCTTATTTACAGTGGTATCAACAGACAATTTCGAGCCGGCATTAAAAGTTTTCAGTTGCGTAGGAACGAGAGCAAAGAAGAACTCCAAACAACGGCTGCCACCAGAACGTAAAAGAGACATGACAAGATGGCTTACGTATCTTAAGCATTTCGTAAGGATTTTATCAAATCGATATCAAGATTTTAATCAATACCAATCTTCGAACTGTTTTCGTCAGAATCCTACTCTGGCCATGTTGGAGATTGTTTCTTGGAAAGTGGGAGGTTGCCTCCTTACTTAGAAGCAATTTTCTGAGTCGAGAAAAAATATGTATTCCAAACAGCAATTTTGCGAGTGGCTCGACGTGTTTAACTGCACGAAAAAAGCAGACCTCAGGAGAAGCCGCGTAGAAATGTGCAGAGGTTTATCAGGCACGTGCAGGAAAACTGCTCTTCTCGTTGCCATTTTTATTTAACTGTCTCGAAACATAGACGAGCCCTTGAGATCTCTTCCTGTTTTCTTCAATATTCACCAGTATATTTTTATGCTTTTCCCGTTGACGCGCAACTAGTGCTTAATTCTTTTAAAACAGAGATGTACCAGCTTCTTCTCTTGATTTACAAATATGCTCATATTGTTACGGTTTGGTGTTTTAATATGCTCTGAATCAAGGCTCGTGAATCAAGACTTGCCTCACGACCTTGCAATTCGATGATAACAACCGTGAAAGTGTTCTTATGGTAACCCTCAATGAGCGTAATCAAAATATCACCATAACATTTCGTCCTAATTCATTGTGTACGTAAATTAATCTAATAACCTCTTAGGGAATTCTTATAAATAAACCGTAGCCCTGGTGTTGTCATTGGAATTCCCACGCAATCGTAATTCGGACGAATTAACGGTCTGGTGAGATTTACCTGATTAGAACTGGTCTCATGGCGACCTCAATAACGCTGACTCAAATTATTACTAATGTTTTGTCCTTACGGAGAAAGTAAATTTGATTTGCAGCCCCCCTAAGAAACCTTGCTAAATAATTCATGCCTCTATCCCATTAGATTCGCCAAGTACGTATATCAATAAGTTTAATTTACGTCTTGTGATTTGGTATAATTTTCCTTTTTGATACTGTTTTCACACTCATAGCAGTGAAATCTGTGTAAGATCAGTTGTAGCCTGGGAACAGGCTTGTTGGTACATACCTCATAGGAGAACAGCATATCACTTATTAGATAGTTAGCAGCGCCAGTGGGCATAATAAAACGAATCCTGTGTTCTCATTGGGTACCCGAACGAGCCAGATGGCCCCATCTTGCCCGCTCGGGATTGCCCGCTTTGATTCCACGCAAGAAAAAATTTTATGTTTAGCGGACTTAAGTAGTTCGTAGTTTTTGGACAATGCCGCGTTGGAGTGTAAAAAGCGGTAGAAGGAAGTCAAAACAGAGAAAGCATAAACAATTCTCAGGAGTTTATTCGGTGCTCTAATTACAGTTGGCTTTCTTTCTTCGCTCTAATATTCTTGATTCGTGTTAAAGCGAAATATTTTCGCTACAAAGTAAAATCCTCTGTTGACCAAGCTTTTCCGGTCAGGATGGCTGGATAGTAGCCTCGTTCTTTTATTCGTAAACGCAAACCAAAAAATTTCGGCCAATATCTAGCCATCTTGACCTCACGCCTCGTCAAACACGTATTTTTTATTTCATGTATATTAACTCGTCTATGAGCACATTCCAACACTTAACTAATATTGTGTCCAGAAGTTACAACTGTCTACGTTGTCTATGGTAGATGCAGCTATCGACAGTGGTCGACACTGTCCACAGTGATGAGATACAGTTATCTGCATTATAGACAATGGACACAGAAGATACAGCCATCTCCGTTGTCCACTGCGAAGCCAGTCAATTGCTCTGTCTACAGTATATAGAACGATCCACAACATCTACTCTTTACGTTTAAATTTTTCTGGGTAATTTCTTTGTTAAAAACATGTTCTGTTATTGTTTGCTTCAGGTATAGCGAGCTAGTCAGCTGATTTCCACCTTTGGCCGAAATCACATGTGCTTCACATGATACTTTAAGCATCGCACACGTTCTGTTCGCTCTGAATCTCACATTCATCATGTGCTAAGTGGTCAATTATCATGGTAAAAGCCACCTTTTTACCTGATTACGGTCAAAATCGCACAATAATAATTGTCTTAAATGGTTTTAATTTCCTTTTCCGATTGGTGCAAGGCAGGGCTCATAGGGTAGGGGCACATTTAATCTATGATAACAAACCTGCCTGTGGTAAAGAGGTCACTTGTGTGGTAACAAAATGTGCAACAATATATATGAAGAAATTGCAGCTTGTATGTCAACGAGCATGTGATAATTGCTAGCGAATGAACCACTTTAACGGCCTCAAGAAGGGAAGGGTCTGAATCTCCCAGAACTCTGAGCGCGCGCGTTCTTTCCCACGATGCACCGTGAGCAGGTACCGGCCGGTGTCGGACTTCTGACCTGCTTAGGTAGTTGTAGGATTCTCTCGTAGAGGAACTTTAATTCATTATGGTTCAAGTTCAAAAGAATGTCTGCTTGATTGTTATCGACGGCTGGGGCATCTCTGAAAACAAAGAAGGTACCAGCTGTTTTTATGTCGGCAAAACATATATTTTTGTGGACTTCATTTCAGCAATTTGTAGTGCGATCGATTGATAAATTCTGTATGTACTGTACATGTTTGGAACATATGTCTTCACTTTCATTGATCCGGCGATGTTGATACTGAGAAATGTTTATTTAAGAAATATGTTGCTTTTGTTCATGAACATAAACATGGTCTTGAAAAATTTATGTAATTTTTTAGTGTGCGAACTTGACAGAATTGTCACGTCACGCTCTGACTCTCATTAATCTATTTTTATGTCAATATTTGAATATCGCCATGTTCCTGATTTTTACATAACTTGCTAATGTTTAATGTGTGTAGTAAAACGTTTACAGACAATCAAATTCTCATAGATTGCGAACCGAAGCATTTTGTGCGCACAGTAGTTCTCCGAATCCAGACTCGTTGTTGCGTGACATCTCGAGTGTATTAGTAACGAATGTTTGGTAAGAATTCAGCGTTCAGTGTTTGAAAATGTCAAAATGTTTAGCAACATGAAAACTTTTGGCTTCCATTCTTAAACCTGAAGGGTTGAAGACTGGAGACCAAAAGTGTAACATTTCTGAAATTGTGAACCAGAGAATGATTTTTACATAGATTTATAGATTTAAACTTGGTTTTGCCATGATTTTTACATTTTTTTTAACCCTTTAACTCCCAAGATCTAAATGGTAATTCTCCTTTTAGTCTGTCATACAGTACTTGTGATGTTAGTTTGGAGAATTTGGGATTGGATCAACTTATAATCCCCCAATTGATGTTTTTCTTTATTCTCATCACTTATCCGCTTGATATTGTATTTACATTGTAGGGAGAAATTCTGTTTTGGTCACTCATGGGCATTAAAGGGTTAAAATTAATAATACATGTTTGAAAATTTATACCCCAGTCATATCTAAGCCTTTAGGTGCTGTAGCTTATCAATATCCTACACTCAAATTTGATGTTGTTTGTAGGTTCTATTTTTTCAGAGATAAATAACTGTACTCAATAAACAACCAAGTGGAAAAAGGAAATAAATCAGTGATGCTAAAACTTAAATAATGTCAGAGTGTGAAGCAATCTCATTCACTTACCTGCCTTCATATAGGAAATGCCATTGCTAATGCTACGGTACCAGTCATGGATGCATTTTGCACTGGACAAAACAATGCTTACACCACCCTAGATGCTTCTGGTTTGTCAGTTGGCTTACCTGCAGGACTTATGGGTAACAGTGAAGTAGGACATCTGAATATTGGAGCTGGAAGAGTTTTGTACCAGGTGTGAAATATAGGAAACTATGCCATCATATCTTGATTATTCGTATAATCAAAGCTATAATAAGATTCTCAAACATGATTGGTTATGACCAGTCAGATTTGAGTGCTAATTGGACAGCATATGCATCATGCTTGTAATTAGACAGTGCAAGTGTCATGGCTATCTAATTGGATTGTAGGCATCATGTGTGTGCACTGCTGTTATGATGCATTTTGCAGAATTAATTGTATCTTACAGAGGTGCAATGAATGGTTAGTTTGTTTCTCAAATTTTGTCACAGTTTTGATGAATTGGCAATAGGACTTTGTGTTGCCCAATATTGTCTGTAATTGTACTCATAATGAACATGTTGGACTCCTGTTTGGTGGTCATCCCATTTTGTTAATCATTCAGATTACACACCAAATTGGATTCTACCGAGTCCCATTACCACTACCAGTGATTCTTTATAATCAGTAGCAGAGTTTAGGGAAGGAGGGGGAATGGGGTGAGAGATTTGTGATCCCTAAAAAAATAGACCCATGTTGCCATGTGTTTATTCAATGTTATAACACATTAGACTTACTATAGAAATTCTGATTGGTTGAGAGCATGCAGTCAATAGTATGTGATGTTGACATGATAACCCAATATCTGTAACAGATATTGGGTTATCATGTGAAGTTCAAAGTTTGGCTAGTTTCCAAGCCCTTCATCCATGCACATGTAGTATTCTCAAAATTTTTCGAACTCAGAGAAGTGTCTGACTTCTGCAGATTGTTTAGCAAATTTACAATAGAAAAAAATATTTGATTCACCAAGTTTTTGTCAAACCTCACATCTGCGTTATCTACCTCAGCCTTCTCCTCTGGTAGATAACTCAGATCTTGGCACTGATATTTCATGATATCATGCTCAACCTCAGCCAGTAATTGCTTAATCAATCACAAATGATGCCAAATCGGGTTACAACAAAAAAGAGGCACACAAGGCACAGCTGAGTGTGTCACTGATGTTCTTATCACACTTTGGTGTCTTGTGTGATCAACTTATGTACAAAGTCATGCCGCCCTGGAATCTCTTTGTCTTTTTGAAAAAGAAGCATAAAATTATTATGGAGATGTCATCTATATGTCTGTCTTCCAATGGATCAAAATTAAGAGCCAATCAAAATACAAAAATAACTCTGAGCTCATTATAATTATAATCATGTATGAAAAGGCAACAATGATGCATGAAAGTTAAATATCTGATTCAGGTTATTCTCCTAGGCAATGACAAGACACTGTTTTAGGACCCTTAATTGTTAAAAAAAAAAACTGCCAAATGAATTTGATTCAGATTTATGAGCTGCAAAAAAAATTGGATCATGAAATAACACTCGATCAAACTACCCACAGCCAGTTAAGGTTTTGAAGCACAATGATTTGGATGGAGATTCAAAGTGTTCTGTAGACACATCCTTTAATAATCTGTCTAAAAATATCATTGTAGAAAGGAGATGGTCCTTCTTAATAAGTCCATGGAGATTGGGTATGTTTTAGCCAGTGACATAGTAAGGGTCCATATCAATCTGTACACTTATAAAATTTGTTTATTACAATTGTAATTAAAATTATGGCTACTCTTAATCACTCATGCCTTTCATTATTACTTGTCCTTTTTTTTGGTAGGATATTGTTAGAATTAACATGACCTCTGACAATAAGGAGTTTTCAAAAAATGAAGTTTTTGCTGAAGCTGCAGAAAAAGCTAAGGCTTCTAATGGAAGGTTTCATTTATTGGGTTTGGTGAGTAACCATGTCTTATTAAGATCATTTTCATATGTCTGAACTATACACTAATAATCAACAATTAACTCTTTAACTCCCAAGATCTTAATAGTAATTCTCCTTACTGTCTGCCATATAATTGCTGCAATGTTAGTTTGGAGAATTTGATATTGGATCAACATATAGCCCCCTAATTAATCTTTTCCTTTACTCTCATAACTTTTCTGCTTGATATTGTATTGATATTGTAAAGAGAAATTCTGTCTTGATCACTCATAGGAGTTAAAGGGTTAAGTTGTTAATCAAGTGAAGTAATCTTGATCTAGATCTCACAGGACAAATATTTAACTTGACTAAAGAGGTCATTCATTTTTCGAGAGAGTGAGATAAGGAAAAGATGTGAGCCCTGCTAAAGGAAACAATACTCAGGCCTTTGGATTTTTGCAGTCAGATGCTCTACCAGTGCAAATTCATTGTTGAGTGGGGCCATACATACATGTAAGGTTCAGAGATGACAATGCCCTTTATACTGCTAAGATCAACCAAATTGAAAGTAGTCGATCATCAAACATCTGAACATCAATTACACTGTACACAGATTTTTGATTATTTGGATTCACTTCTCTGGTCCCATTTTTTTTATGAATTCAATATGAATTAATTAGTCAGATCTGAGATCCTTAACAGCTTTTTACCATCAAACAAAGCAGTGTACTGAATCAGTGTTGATTCTACTCCATTAAATTAATACAACTTCAGAGAATGCTAGAATTAGCAATGTACATAAACTGTTAGTAGCAGCTTGAAACAAACTGATTTAGGTCAGCATTTTAGGTTGTAAAATGTTGGTTGTCATAAATTAAAAGTTTTTTGTAAGTACTTTGGGAAATTTTGGTAGGATGCACAATGATGTGAAAATGTCCTTCAATTCTTGGATAATATTGATTAAATGATATTGGTTTTATTTTAGGCTCAGTAAGGAGGTATTGTGTTTATTATCCTTCTAATATTTTGCCATGCACATGAAAAATGTTAACAAACAACTTACCATAAGCAGGGTGGGAAGTGTTCTTTGGAGTGTTCTCTGCAGGTACAAACTTTATGAAAAAAATAATATCTTCCTTCTTCTGCAACAACCACAAACACTCCCTTATCTAATTAAATATTTTAAATGAAGGCTTACACTGTATCATGATGGATTCAAGGTTTGAACATTGGGGAATTTCATTTGGCTGATATTCTTGGATATCACCTAGTTTTAGCTGGGGGATATTCAGGCACGTGTTGCATTTAGACCAGTTGCATATGAGCAGAAAGATTTGATGGATCATAATTTCAATTATCCAGACTGTTCAGCCCAGTCTGCACAAACCCAGAAGATAGAGGTGGGACTGTACTTGCACACTTGATGTGAAAGTATACGTTATAGGCAATTTTTTTTTTCTACAGGTCAGCGATGGTGGTGTCCACGCCCACATCAATCATTTAGAGTCAATGATTGATGCAGCTAAGGAGCTTGGTGTTCCCAAGTGTTATGTTCAGTTTTTTGCTGATGGAAGAGACACATCTCCAACCAGTGGAGGTACAAAATATATTGAAGGAAGCTACTTCACCACCAGGCTATGCAATAGTAATTAATTGTAATAATAATGATAATAACTAGTGTCATAAATTAAGTGCCAATCAATTTGAGGCTTCAACATCCCCACCCCATCCCCCTCTCTCCTTTTCTGGGCAACCCATGGATGTTTTGACCATTATCTGTGCCTGGGGTGGGGAATTTGAACCTAAAGTGTCATGTCTTTTCAGAAGAATACAAGTGTATCTTTAAATATGGAGATGTTTAAAGGTAAAGAGTTCATTCAGGTCTGCAAGGTCTTGTTTTTGAAAGCCTGGTCAATGAGTAGAAAGTCAGAGTCACTGATTTTGCCTCTAAAATTAAAGAAGAAAACTGACCATTTAATCCAACACTTGGGTATGGGCATTCAAACACAATTTTGCTCCCAGCAGGGATAGGAATTAGAACAAACCAATCTTCAAATCTTCAAATACTCAAATACTGGATTAAGGGAGGGATGTTGAAGCTTTGAATTGATTATTAACAATTAGTTCTCGGGAGTAAAACCCATCAATGAAAGAAGTAACAAAATCTCTACTTTAACATTTTTAAGTGACATATGTGGAACAAGTCTTGAAGAAGCTGAAGGACATCAATTATGGCTCACTAGCCACAGTTGTGGGCCGTTACTATGCAATGGACAGAGACAAGCGTTGGGAGAGAATCCAGATTGCTTATGAAGCTTTGGTGCAAGGAAAGGGTGAAGAAACTACCCCAGATAAAGTTATTGAGGTAAAGACAGACAGTTGACTGATTAGACTTTGCAAGGTGTATCACCGGCTCAAAGATCCTTTACTTAAGCATGTAATTCCTCCACCTGCTGTTTATAAATTGTCTTTGTTTATATTATGTTTGAGTTTGCTTTTTTTTTTTTTTTTTTTTTTTCATTTAAGGTTATCAAAGGTCGCTATGAAGCAAAAGGAGACAAACGTGAAACAGATGAGTTCCTAAAACCCATTATTGTGGACCCTGAAGGAAGAATAAGAGGTTTGTGTTGAGTGTTTAAAACTGATGAGAAAGTAATTGAGTATTAATAGAATATATTTGATTTTTTTCACCATGAGATGCAAGAACACAGTTTGCTATAAATCACATGGTACAAACTTTTAATTAACAAATTAATTGTATTTTTTTTATCTTCTAGTAAAAAGTATTGCTTTCCTCATTAAAGTATTACTGCAATATCTTTTACTAAAAAAGCTTAGTTACTTTTATCAGTTTAATGCTTATGATATCCATCATGAATTATTTTGGCTATTCATTTCTCTTCAGATGGAGATGTCCTTTGTTTTATTGACTTCCGTTCTGACAGGATGAGGCAAATCAATGAAGCTTTTGGAATAAAGCCACCTTTTGAAACAAATGTTATTCCTTCTAATCTTGTAAGTATATATAGTATCTTGTTATTTGAAGAAAGAGGAACAAAATAATATTTCAGTAAGTCAGGAGTAATGTAATGGTTAGATACTTAAAAAGGACAACTGTTATGGGACACAAGGATCCAAATTTGGACTCTAGCATGTCCAAAATCAGCTGACATTGTCCAAAATCGAATGCATGTGTTAAAAATCAGACATGAAACATGTCTAAAATCTGAAAATACATGTAGTTTCTAAGATTGGGCAGTAGTGTCTGAAATCCAACACTTGTGTCCAAAATTGGATCCTAGTGTTAAAAGTAAGACACATGCCCAAAATGGGACATCAGTGTCCAAAATCAGGATGTAAGTATTCAAAATTGGACGTTTGTTTGTAAAATTGGGTGCTAGCATCTGAAATTGGGTACTGATGTTTTAAATTGGATACTAGTGTCTAATATTGGATCCCAGTATCCAATAACTATTTCATTCAGTTGTCACTTTTCAAGTATCTAACCATTACATTGCTCCTGACCTACTGAAACATTTTTTCACTAGTGTCCAAAATTGGACACAAGTGCCAAAATCTTACCTCACCTATTGTCTAAAATAGGACATTTGTGTCTAGAATTGGACAATAGTGTCTAGTATAGCCCTCTAGGGTCCAAAATCAAGCAATGGTGCCCAAAATCAAATACCTGTGTCCAAGGTTGGACCTCTTTTAATTGCATACTGCGGTATATAGAATTGGATGCCAGTTACTAAAATCACTTAGCAATTATTTCCAAAATTGGACGCTAGCATACAAAATTTGACATCGATGTCTAAAAATGGACACTAGAGTTGAGGGTGCATTTATGTTTTTACTGATCAAATTTTAATTTGTCTTTAATTTCAGCATCAAATTACCATGACACAATACAAAAAAGAATTTCCCTTCCCAGTCATGTTTCCTCCTTTTACTCCAAAGAATGTCTTAGCAGAATGGTTATCTGTTCACAATGTTCCTCAGTTTCACACTGCTGGTAGGTACTTGACAAAAATTAACCCTTTAATTCCCTTGAATAATCAAGACAGAATTTCTCTTTACAATGTCAATATAGTGCCTAGCAGACAAGTGATGAGATTAAAGAAAAACATCAGTTGGATTATCAGTCAATCAAATTCCAAATTCTCCAAACTAACATTATAAGAATGGCAGACCATAAGGGGAACTTTTCTTATTGCAAATGAGATCTAGGGATCAAAAGGGTTAAGATCACATCTTAGGTTTTTGTTATAAATCTGAAATTAATTTAATTTATAAAATGCTTGTCAGGTTGTGACCATTGCATTGACTGCAGTTGAAAAGAGTAACACAGCCAGGTATTTCCTGGTGCAGTGGGCTGGAATCATTAGTTTTGATTTCCTTGGGTAGAAGACAGTTAAGTTTTAAACATAGTAATGTCTGTGCCTGTCCAGGAATAAATTAAGGCCATAGAAAGTGAGGGGGTAGGGAATGATTTTTAATGGACCATACCTCCCTGTCATGGGTCAATTATGGGCATGGTTGAGCATCAGTACCCAAAGTTTATGCCTGTCTTTGCAGTTGGGTTGTTCTTTCTTACATCCAGGCATTTCATTTACATAAAAAATATGCAAGGCAGTTCTTTTTTTTTCCTCTGATGGTTTTGTTGCATCCATAGAAACTGAGAAATATGCACATGTAACTTTCTTTTTCAATGGTGGCGTGGAGAAACAGTTTGAGGGAGAAACAAGATCAATGGTTCCTTCACCAAAAGTGGCCACATATGATTTGAAACCAGAGATGAATGCTGCTGGAGTTGGAGAAGAGGTAAAAATAAAGACCAAAAAAAAATCTTTGATGTTGTTTCTTAGTTTGTAAATGTGAAAGTCTCTCAAGCAGCTTCTCTGTGGCATTTCAGGTGTTGCTCCCCCTTAAAAGAGTGGCACCATGTCCTGGGTAAATTCAAAGTAGACAAGTCAACTGCATGACCTTGACAATGCCAGCTACAATGAGCAGTCCCTCCCTTTTGGCAAAAGTCCATGGCATGAGTTAAAAGAAAATCAGTGAAGAAGAAATGTTAGTGTGCTGTGTGGGACTCACGCAACAGACTTTGCCAAAAAGGAGGGACTGTTCACAGTCTTGCCAAAAGTCAAAATAATTTATTTAATATGTAGTTTAGCAGGAAGGACCCAAGCTTCCATGCTGAATGTTTTTGATATTTCTATTAACAGGTGTGTAACGCTGTTAAAAGTGGCAAGTACCCATTTGTAATGTGCAACTTTGCTCCGCCTGACATGGTTGGTCACACTGGCAAATATGAGCCTGCAATCAAGGGTTGTGAGGCAACTGGTGAGTCAACAGTGTTTTACAATCAGTTACAACACTATGATGGTTATGCCTTTGAAATTTGCCAAGATGAAAAAGCAAGTGTTTTTTTTTGGACACAGATAAAGCAATTGGTGAGATTGCCAAAGCATGTGAAGAGACAGGCTATGTGTTGATGATAA